AAAAAAAGGGTTGAGCCTACACCATTCATTATAGGAGAAATGGTGTACTTATCTACAAAATACCTAAAGTCCCTACAGCCCTGTAAAAAACTTGGACCAAAATATATAGGACCTTTTCCAATTAAAAGGATCATAAATCCAGTAACAGTAGAATTAGAATTACCCAAAAACCTCAGGCAAATACACCCAATTTTTCATTGCAGCTTGCTGAAAATAGAGCATCAGTCACCTCTACGGCCAAAAATCCCCCCCCCACCACCTCCAATCATGGTGGAGGGGGAACAACACTTCGAAATAAAAGAGATCCTTGACTCTAGGAGATATCGTGGAACAACTCAGTACCTAGTTGCCTGGAAACACCTCCCTGCCATCACAAAATGAGTGGGTCCATAAACGTCACGTCAGAGCCCCGAAGCTATTGAAGAAGTTTCACACAGAGTATCCTAACAAGCCTAACTAAATTTTTTACTTGTTTTTTCTTTCAGGTGGATCTCTCTTATTGTTAAGAGGGGCCGGATGTCAGAATCCAATTATATTTCATCTTTAATTATCAAACATAGAAACTCCCAATTCTGCCTTCTCTGGATTCTGCCATAAGAGGGAGAAAAGGGGGAGAGCAAAGGGGCTTTATGGCCCTCACTTCCTTCAGCACACTTCAAAGGACTGAATGTGTGTTTATTGTGTCCTCTAAGCTTTAACATATCAGAAGCAGTAATTGCCTTTCATGTAGTTATCTGAAGTCTCCATCCAGACGGAAGAAAGAAGAAAGGGAGTGGAATTGTGATACTTGAAACTATCACTGGAAGGGGGGTTGATTGGGTGGGACTACTGGGGAACCCCTTAAAACCTTGAATGGGAGAGCTTGGACCCCAAGTCCTGTCTAGCATGCCTGCAACCATTTTCTCTTAATAAAGGATTCCTGTTGGAAGAGCTATTCCAAGAGTTCTGTCTTCTTAAGATGCAAAGTGGCCTGGATAACCATTTGTCTGAAATGGTATCGGGTTTCCTGCTCAAGGGGGGGTGTTGAACTAGAAGACCTCCAAAGTCCCTTCCACCTTATTATTCTATGTTCATGTACCTCCAGTCCATGTCCAGCTATTCAATGAACCAAGACATCTGGGCTATGTTCTACATGGTCATGGTCCCCATGCAAAACCCTCTGATCTACAGTCTGAGGAACTAGGAGATGAAGAATATCACCAGATTAAGGCAATTACCTGCAATAATTATAGATATACTCTGCAAATTGCTTTCATCCTACCTACCAGACATTCCAAGTTCTACTGTCTCTTTGTTCTCTGTGAAAGGGCCCTCCTTCCTGGAACTCTTGACTACATTTCACCAGATCAAGTCATACTTAAGTGCATAATACTTAATTCTTCTTTGACTGTAATTTTTAATTCATTCTGGTTCCCCCTAATGTCCAACATTCAAGCCCCCCCTGTCAGGCCTGCCCCAGCTAGGTCCCTAGGAATGAAAGAATCTTGACTCCATTTGGTTCAAGTGACAGGTTCTTTTACTAAGGATTAGTGGTTGCAGCAAACGCAAGGTTAGATTTGAGATTCCCACATACAACATAACTGTCAATGCTGTAAACATTGGATGTTCCCGCTCTGACAACTGATGAAAATCGCAGCCATTTTCTCTCTTTGCTTTTAACATGCTTTTTCTCCTATTTAGAAATCAGGTTCAGAATAGGGGGTTGGGATGAATACTTGAGCTCAGCTAGCCATAATAATAAACGCTGCTTTGTGGGAACCCAAGGTCAAATTGATAACGTTTTGGCAGTCTGAGGAGCTGGGAAGAAAGCCCATGTTTCAGGCTAATTGGAGAGCATGATTTATGACTGCTTGTTGGGGGGGGGGGAATTGCAATTTGTTACTTTGCATCCGGGGAAAGGGAAATTAGTTTTGGGTTCAACTATGTAGTGCCGATACTTTGTTTCCTGAATAAAATGTTCTTTAAGGAAGAATCCTTGCCTTGAAGTTCTTTTAATGGGTTTCATCTATCGGAACCATGACAATAACATTTTTCCCTCTTTCCCCAGCCCTCCCCCTTTGACTGGTCCAGCTCTGTCCAATGGCATGCCATTTAGATGTTTTGGGAACAGTTTGCATGTTTGGTGCCACTTGATGCAATTTCACATTCTTTTCCCAGGCTAGGTGTCCTTGAAAACTGGAACAGGCTGGTTCTCACACCTCTGATTTCCACCAAACCTATCAACCTCCTTCCCTCTCATCTCTACTCTCTACATTCCGATTGCCCCCTTCTCCCCCTTAACAATTTATGACAGGAGGCCAACAAAGCACAGGATGCAACAAAGAGCTAAAGATGGCAGATCTGACAACCCCACCCTATCATTTTTTTAAAAAGATTTCAAAATAAAAGAGTCTTATAATTAAATTATTTTAAATCCATCTGGATCCTTAGTCCCATTTGTAACTTTCCAAAAACAAGGAAGAAGCAGGAACAAGAGTCACAAGTTGGAAAAGCAAACAGTCATCTCTAACAAAAACTGCAAACAAAGCTGCTACCTAATGCATCTTTTGACAACTGGCTGTAATCTCTTATGTCTTTTTCAAGTGAGAAGTCTCATTGAAGACCGTAGTTCTGCTCGCCTCTGTAAATGTCTAGACCTGGAGCTTGGGGATTGTGCCTCATCATCTGACTGCTCCAGCTAAACAGGAGATGCCTGTGATTGATCAGTCTCATCTGAATCCTAGCTTATTGGATCCTGTGGCTAACATCCTAAAACACATGGTCATCTGCAGCAACATTATCAGATTCCAGGTCAGAGTCATGTTCTGAATTGTGGCACATAACACTTGTATTTAAAACTTCTGTCACTAATGGCTGAGCAAAATTCTCATGGTTCTGTAAAATGTGTTGATCCAATGGTTTGCAATAGCTGAAAAGGAATGTACAAGCAACTTCTAAAAATAATTAGAAAATGAAATATGCAGAAATAATTAGAAAAGAAAGTATGCAAATTCATGTAGGTATCGACCTCAGTTTGAGTGAAGATAGCTTTCCTTCATTTCCCAGAGCTCTAAAGTTGATGGTGACTGCTGTCTTGTGGTCTCCTTGTGAAGAGCAGTTATCTGCAGCACTTGTGGATGATCTCAAGTTCTCCCCTTCTCTGGAGAGGAATTATGAAACAGCTGGGCTACTTGCCTGCTCATTCTGCCAAGTTATTAGCTCTGCTAACAGTTTGAATTTCTTCCCTGGAAGACCACTAAATTCCTGGCAAATGCTAGGCTGGAGATATAATAGGCACAGTATGTTGCTTCTGAATTTATGAGCTGCCAAACATGTTTGAGTTGTAGATTGGTGTGATAGATTTTGTCTATGAATTGTGTGATGGACAAGCAACAGTTTCCTAGGAGAGAGGGAGCACATTCGGGGGGGGGAGGGCGAGACAAGAGTCAACACAGCCTGGAGCTAGATCAGAGAAAAGGGAAGAGAATTAGAATAGGTGCTCCCTAGAATTTCCCAGGTTATATGGGTTAAGGTTAGAATGGGATAGAGTCAGACTAACTAGATTCTGCCTATGTGGTGTCAGCAAATTAAAAAAAACAAACTTTGGTTAGATTGTTCCATGTCATTCTTGGGCCTGAAAATTGTTGAGTTGTAGATTGGGACTCAAGGTGTTATTTACTTAACGATAGACTCCAATTAAAACTATTACAACAAAACATGAAAATATAACCACTTATCTCCAGGATCTGGGGTATTGAACTACGTAAGGGATAATATCCCAAGTGATATGAAAAGATATTTAAGATCTCTGCCCCTATTTATCAGTTTTGTAATAACAAAGACGCCACTGACTCAACTCCAGGTATGTTTGCTAATTCACAAAAAGATTTACACTAGTGTTGAGGTTAGTCTTTGCAAACAGAACGTTTATATTAACAATAACAATCCACATGGAAAATGTTACTAAGAAATTTGTAAACCATAATAAAATCTGAGACAATCTTAGTTTTAGAGTTTTAGTGGATTTATACTAGTTTGTACTTTTCAGATATTAAAGCCTTCTTAAGAATTTATTCTAGATAGATCATTTTGCTGTAAGAAATGAAAAATTGCATTTGTTGCAAGGATCCTTTCAACAGAGTCCCATGATGTAGAGAAAGCCTCAAAAATAAGAATTAATGCAAATCAATTTCTGATACTTTCTGATTAGTATCAGAAAGATTCTTTTAACAAGACTGGCTCATCCTCACCTTAAGGTATGCTTTCTTCTTGAAAGTCTGATCTAAGCATTATTAAATTTAATTTAATCTAATTAAATTGAATCTTTCTAATTTGAGACCCATGTAAATTTAAATAAGAATAAGATATCATCTAGAAGCAAAATTAGGAAAATGTATCAAAGAATGGCAGGAAATTGCTTTGGACCATTGTCGTGAAAAAGGGAAGAGAAATGCTTCCTGCCTTGTTGTCTACGGGGTGAATTGTCCAAGGGATTTCCCAGTTGAAGACCAGCCTCCAGGGTTTAAGTCCATCTAGACACCATCTAAACTCCATCATGAGAAATTTGGACATTCTTTGTGGAGAGGAAAACCCATATTTATGACAGGCAGGATGTCTTTTGAGGGAATATTATACCTAGAGTATCCATTTTGCTATCTCTTTTAATAAGTGTGATTTCTTTACTCCTCAGAAAGCGCATAAGATTTTATCCTCCTCCAGATAAAGAATATCTTAGGGCTTTTTCTTGACAACAATCAATCAGACCACCAAAACCCGTTTTTCTTTAGAGGAGGTGTTGTGCGGTTCTTTATTAAGAATAATCTCAGCCAATGTATTTTATATTTAACCAAACTTACAGAGAACGCTATATTGATCCTACAGCTTCAAGATTTCATAAATAAAACAAATTACCTTGAAAAGGTATCAGGCACTGATTTGACATATAGAGCTTTTGGTTATCATGATGGATGATTTATACCAGCAGAGACATCAGGAGAATGTAGCCTTTTTGGTGCACCTACCTCTTTTGGTGGCTTTTTACATTGTTGATCATGAAGAGATGTCAATGAAATTTGGAGGCATCACTTTTCAAAAGTTGCACTCCTGCCTTAAAGATGTCTCTAGAAATGATATTATCATATGTTAAATTGATATTTCAATTTGATATCATTGAAACATTGGTCTAAAATTATTTATTTATATCCTGGTTTTTATTTTTACCCATAACTCAAGTTGGCCAACATATCCAACTCCCTTCCTCTTGTTTTCCCCATAAAAACAACCCTCGGAGGTGAGTTGGGCTGCGAAAGAGTGACTTGTCCCTGATTATTAAACAGGCTAATCAAATATATCTACCTCCTATATTACTTGGCTCCACATAAAAAGAGGTTCAGTAATGAACACAGGCAAAAGACACTCTAGATGTAAGGCCCTGCCTCATCTTATCCTACCAGGAAAGCATGACTCTTGATACAAGCATTATTTCAAAAGTATCTTTTATCTAGAAAGTGATTGCAAAGAAATCAGGTGGAATCTGAAGTTCCCGCGGAAAACGTATAGCTAAATTTCCCACTATCCAAACCCCACCTCAATGTCCCAGTCCATCAGGAACCAATCCGCTGGCGTGAAGATGTTGTGAGAACTCTGAGCCAAAAAGGTGATAATGAGTTGTTTTTTGGTGCCGCAATCTTGCTAGCAGGTGGGAATTAGCTGAAAAGGAGTCGAACCAGATGCCCTGATGGCTCATTCCCCCTCCCCAATTCCCATGCAGATACATCAAAGCGAGAGTAGAAACATCCTCAATCCCCAACTCGCACTCCTCCCCCCTCCCTCAGAATGGCAGTATTCCAGGAGGGACCTGATAACTCATTTTCCCCTTTCCGGCTCGGAATTCTCACAACATTGGATCCTGATGGACAGGGATACTGGGGTGGGAATGGGAATTGGGATCCCACATAAAGGTGGGAAATATGGAGGGAAAATTGTGTAAAAGCAAACACGTGTTTTATTGCACCATAAAAGGACATGAAATTCCATATTGCTAGAATATTAAGAGCAATGGAAACCAAGAATCTTTTAATGGCTGGTTAAACTTGAAATCTAGAATCCAAAAAAAAAAAAAACCCCGTAAAATGAATGGTGTGAGAATTTCATGTACCCGACTACTGCCAAATTATCATCTACTATCTGAAGGTGGAATTGGAATAAATGGAATCTGAAAAGGAATCCTGGCACTTTCAAATCATCCCCCTTTCCAGGATATATTGCACACTTTCCAAATGGGTGGAAGAGGGAGAATTATGGTTGCTAACAGACATAAATCAACTAAAATTTGACATATACATTTATAGCAAAATATCTACTGTGGCAATATATTAATCTGCATCTTTCACTTAATTGAAACAACAAATGAAGTAATTTATCAGAATTTTATATATATTCTCAAAGACTACATTTTTGCTTAATAAACTAATTCCATCTAGCAAATAAACTGTATGCTGAGTTGAGTAAGTAGTGTGGTTCCAATCCTCTTGAAAAAATTCTTGTTGCATAAAGATAGGAAAACAGTTGACTCTCTAAGTAATATAATTTTTCTCTCTCTTTACAAGAGATCAGAAAGATAGTTGAGGATCAGCAAATCACCTGAACCAACCCATCTACTCAGAAAATCATGGATAAAGGAAATGGTTCTGCCATGACTGGATTCATTCTTCAAGGATTCACGGATAATCCCAAAATGCAGCTGGTTCTTTTTACAGTCTTCCTCTTGATTTATGTCATCACTGTGTTAGGGAATCTAGGGATGATTCTGTTGATTTGCACTAAACCCCAACTTCACAAACCCATGTATTACTTCCTGGGCAATCTCTCCTTTGTTGATCTCTGCTGTGCCTCAACCATTGCTCCTAAAATGCTGATTGACTTATTAAGTGAAACTAAAAGGATTTCATACAGTGGCTGTGTTACACAGGTCTTTCTGTTTGCTATCCTTGCAGATGCAGAATGCCTTTTGTTGGCTGTTATGGCCTATGACAGATACGTGGCCATCTGCAATCCACTCCTCTATCCAACCGTAATGTCCAAAAAGGCCTGCCAGAAAATTATCTCTATTGTGTACTTTACAGGCCTGCTAGATTCAATGATACAAACTTCCTGTATATTCCAACAATCTTTTTGTAGTTCCAACGTTATCAATCACTTCTTCTGTGATGAGCCTCCACTTCTAATACTCTCCTGTTCCAACACATATATTACTGAGATTGTGCTATTTACTACTGTTGGCTTTGGTGAAGCAGGCAGCGTTAGTATGATTCTTGTATCCTATGTTTACATTTTGGCTACAATCTTGAGAATGCGCTCTGCTCTGGGCAGGCACAAAGCATTTTCCACTTGTGCCTCTCACTTGACAGCTGTTGGGATATATCATGGGACAATACTCTTCATGTACTTCCGACCAAATTCTAGTTACTCCATGGACCAAGACAAATGGGCCTCTATGTTCTACACAGTTGTGATCCCTATGCTCAATCCTTTGATCTACAGCCTGAGAAACAAGGAGGTGAAAGATGCTGTGCCAAAATCTTTTGGCCATATATGGATTTGGATTGGGGGAAAAATGTTTTACAATAACTTGCATTTGAGGAGGAGGGACATATAGAACATATATCTTGAAGGCATGGTAAATTCAGTGGGGGATATGTGAATTTTTAAAGAATGTAAACCTAGAAAAAATTAATAGACAACTTAATACAACTCTCTGCTGCTTATGGAGAAGAGGCAATTCAGTGTAAAAAAGAATATACATTGTGTACTCTTGTCCTTTCAAACGTGTATACATGGAATTGCTCAATCTTCTGAATATTATCTCAATATAAAATATATATTATTTAAATATAATATAGTTCACCTGTACAAGTCTCCACTACTGTCAAAGGCCACTATTTCAGTTTAATCAGAGAAACCTGGTTCTTCAACTGGTTCACTCCTTTAGTCCCTTTCCACAACATTTACCCATTAAAAAAATGGTACTTTGACACCAGTCCATCAGAAAAAAAAGTGGCAGTCATAAATCAAAATAATTTATTGTAGAAAGCACACAGAATCAAAATACTTTTATAACTATGGGCTTTAGAATTCAAAAGACTGAAGCATATATAATATTATACCATTCCACATCTGTAAATTAAATACTGTTGTTGGTTCTGAATTTGTCAAGTCATAAGCAGTTCACTATGAGGCAAACCAAGCATTTCAGTGTTTTGTTTTTTTTAGCCATAATTACACAAGCTACTAGGCTTAGCTAGCCAATGTGTCCCAGCCCATGGATGGAGTGAGAGTTGCAGGACTCCCACAGATGTAAAGGCAGGCGTGCTGCCAAGCACCCAAATTTTGATGACTACTTACAGGGATACTGCAACAAACAGAGTTTCAGGGAGAGGTCATTAAGTCTCTTTGTTCAGCTCCATTGTTATTTCAAATGGTTGCTGAACAAATTGTCATAAGTCAAGGACTAGCTGTAAGAAACAGTAGTGCTTTCAACACACGAAGAAGACACCCTGGAATCACAGAAGGATAGCAATTGGAAAGATTTTCAGAAAGTATAATTTACAAAACGTGAAAATCAACTGTGTTAAGAGGAACAAGAAACATGACAATATCGGCTTAAGATCTATCAGTTCACTGAAATCAGTAGAATTCTCAGGGTTTTTTTAATTATTATTTAGAGACTTCTGAAGAAAGAAGGGAAAATAAGGTGTATTAGCAGGATTGGGCAGAAGGCTGGCTAGGTGCAGGAATCCAGTGTGAAGAAGCCAATGCTCACACAGGATTAAAGAAAGATAAAATTCTTTTACTTCCGTACAGAAGCCGAAGAAGTCACCTTTGGGCTTCACACCCAGGGAGCACGCCAGAAATCAGGCACAGTTGTTGTTTTTTTCTCCTACAGAAAACAAAATAAGAGAATTGCTGATTAGTTACATGACAATCACACATGCAGACAAAGCAAAACCATTCCATAATATCCAAAATTATTTAATGCTGCTTCATTATCATTTAAGTTGCCACAAAGAGGAGGAGGTCAACTTATTTTCCAAAGCACCAGAGGGCAAGGCAAGAAATAATGGATGGAAACTAGTCAAGGAGAGAAACAATCTGGAATTAAGGAGAAACTTCCTAACAGTGAAGACAATTAACCAGCGGAACATCTGGCCTTCAATAGTTGTAGTTGTCTCATCACTGGAGGTTTTTAAGAAGAGACTGGACAGTCATTTATCTAAAATGATATAGGGTTTCCTGCTTGAGCAGCGGGGTGGATTAGAAAACCTCCAAGGTTTTCATTTTCCACCTGCGCCTCTCACTTGACAGCTGTTGGGATATACCATGGAACAATACTTTTCATGTACTTCCAACCAAATTCTAGTTACTCCATGGACCAAGACAAATAGGCCTCTATGTTCTACACAGTTGTGATCCCCATGCTGAACCCTGTGATCTATAGCCTAAGAAACAAGGAGGTGAAAGATGCTATGTCAAAATCTCTTGGCCATATATGGATTTGGAAAGGGAGAAATTTTGTTTTACAATAGCTTGTTAGAGTGTTGATTTGAGAGGGAAGGACATACAAAAGATTTATCTAGGAGGTGTGGTAAAATCACATTGGGGAATCAATCTTTCTTTCAGTCTTTGGGAATATGTGAATTTTTAAAGGATATGGCCCTATGCAACTTAATAATCTCTACCACTTTAAAAAAAAGAGGAAATTGAGGCAGGAAAGCATACATTTTATATTCTGGTTTTTTCAACTCTACATGAAATTGCTCAATCCTCTGAATATTATCTCAATAAAAAGCATAAGTTATTTAAATATAATTCAACAATACAATTCTCCACTTCTGCCAAAAGCCATCATTTCAGTTTAATCAGAGAAACTTGGCACTTCCAACTGGTTCACTCTTCTAGCCCCTTCCCACACTCTTCAGCCATCGAAAGCAGTCCATCAAAAAAGAGTTCCTTGTTCACATCTATTGCTCAAACTATTTCTGATCTCTTCATTATTTCCCTTCCCATGTCTTCTTTCCTCCACTTTTAATCAGAAACAGGCAGAAGTCCTTTTAATCGATAGTCATGATGAATATTCTTATTTTTCTCAATATACTGAGTGTGACAGATGTGAGTCTAATCCTACAGTTTTCAGATTTGAACAATTGACAAAAGTGTGGTATTATGGAACACCCATAGACATTTTATACTATCCCTACTATAAACAGATATGGGGTAGTACATAATTAGGATTCCACATTGCTAGAAAAGCTGCACTCATAGATAATGGTTCCTGCTAATATAGGTACTGATCCTTCCATGAATGTAAAGAATGATATATAGGTCCAGAGTCACTCCCAGCTTATAAGACAATACCAAGTAAAGGCTCTCCACTCCCTGATTACATATATCCTCTTCTGTTTCTTGATATGGATCTGTATGCATTCTTTGGAAAATAAGACACATAGGTTTGATGGCTGTTGCCAATCCCATGTTTCAGCCCCCCCCCCCAATGCTCAGTTCCAATGTTTGATGATGAACTTAATAGTTTTAGCACCTCTGATTTCTGGCTCTTACTTCTTAATGCAAGATCGGCTAGTAATAAAGCTTGCCTTGTCCATGTGACCAAATTGATTTTATGATCTTCTTTGCAGCACTTATTAAGTGAATCACAACAATAGTTCACCATGGGTGCAGTTTTGCCAAAAACTGGAAATAAATGCCAGTTTCAGCAAAACAGTTGTAAAATGTTTCATATGGCTGTAAGACACTGCAAACAGCTGTAAATGTAGCCCAGTTGCCAAGTACCCAAAGTGCGGTCAGGTGACTGAAGAGAGAGAGGCGACCATCAGAACATCAAATCCAAGTCATAAGTACCCCCAAGTCATTCCAATCTTTTGGAATTGGAATTTTGAATGGCCTTTAAGTGACCAATCATAACTCAAGGACTACCTCTGCCACTAGTTGATCATGGAGATGTGATACCTGCAGAAATAACATTAGAGCTAGAGAGTTTAATTTAATTATATAGTACATTCATCAAAAAGAAACTTTAAGAGGAATTGTACTTTTTACTCTAAGATTCCTCCAATTAAAACTATCACCAGAAACTGTGAAAATGCAACCACTTATCTCCACCATCCGGAGTATTGAAACCCATGAGGGATATTATCCCAGGTGGGATGAAAACACATTTAAGATCTCTGCCTTTTGTAAAAGCAGCGAAGCCACTGACTTGACTCCAGGTATGTTAATTTAGAAAAAGATTTATGTTTGTGTTAAACTTAGACTTTCTGCCATTTTTTCTTTTTTCTTCCTTCCTTCCTAGTGTTTTCCCCGTAAGTACAGGATATGCTTTTTTTTCCAGATCAATGGAGTGTGTTGATCCATTGATTGCAACAAGAACTGACCCACCAGCTTGTGCCTGAGCCTCACATTGTACGTCGAGCAAGCAACTAACCTAAAGTCACCCAGCCAGTTTTCATGCCTAAGGCAGGACTAGAAATCAGAGTCTCTTGGTTTTTAGCCTGGTGTCTTAACCACTAAACCAAATAGGCTCTACCTAGACTTTTCGCCATTACACACTGCATATTTATAGTAATAGTAACAATTCACATGGAATCCTAAGACGTTTCCAAATCATATTAAAAAGAAAGCTTAAATTTTGATCTTCAATGCGTTTATGATTCTTCACCAATGCCAAGGTTTAGAATACTTCTTAGAGGTTAATTCAATTTCTCAATGTCTAATCTCAGTTTTGAATATCATAATGCCTCTATAAGAAGAGAATTTGATTTCCATGTTTAACAGAAGATAGTAAAATTACTTTCACTTAAAGGTAAACAGAGAGTAAACTGAAGCTACCGATAACGCTCTTCATGATTTGAAATGCATCAGAAAGTGTATTTAACTTCTCATTGTTAAACAACATATCAGGTTATATATCAAAGTCCATAAACCTTTAAATAAAGTTGCAATGGACTTAAGCTTCTCATTTATTTTTTTGTTACTCCATTTCTTGCTTAGAAAGCACAAGTATATTAATTGGTTTCTTTTGATCAGATATTTGTGTGGTGGCCAGTTTTGATATAAGGGTAAAGTGAGAACTAAGGAAACAGTTTTATTTATCATATTTTTATGGCTACCCATCTCATCAAATTGTGGCTCTGGGCAGTATACAACAATGATTTTTTAAAAAAAAAAATCATTGAGTTTAGGGAAATGGTTTAGCATGACTCAATTTTCATTCCAATCTTTTTCTATACAGTAAAGGTCTAAGCTTCAATGTGCAATGACTTCACATGTGGATTTGTCCTTTCCATACAGTGTGCATGTTATTTGAGGGTATTGCTCATGGGTCTCCCACCAAAGAACACTTCTTTTGAATCACTCTACTTTTGAGCTCCTTTGTTACAATGCAGTCTAGGAGAAAGTTGGCAATAAGACATCAACACAACTTTGCAATCCAGAACTAGACAGGATAACTAAAAGATTTAAAAATCAGGAAGAAACAGAATTTTATCGAATATTGAATAAATTTTATAGATGGAGGGAAAAAAATGGAGGTCACAGTAAAGAGATAAATTGAGATAGAGACTAGAAATGTATAGTTGTATATAGGTATATTATATGTAATTAATGTACAATATGGACTGAGATGTCAGTCAAAGACGATTTACCATGTTCAATGTTTTTAATCCTTTTTTTTCTTTGTACTTAATAAAAATTTTAAAAAACACACACAACTTTGCAATCAAAACAAATAGCATAAAAATTCATGCATCAATGGAAGTCAGGACTGAAAAAGGAATCAACTGAGGTTACTGTCCCCAAATAAAAGAATGTTTAGGTGTTCCTTATAGAACCACTATTTCTCCTTAGTTCACTTCCCAACTTTAGGGGGTCATCATAGGGGCACCATAAGTATTTTTCATGTCAACAATCAACAATCAGCTCTGCTTTCTATCATCATTAGCATTGTGCCAATATTGTGTCATAAACTCCAAATGGAATTGAAGCAAACACTTTGTAATGCTACTTATTGAATTTTGTTTAATGCCTTTCCTGTTTTAATATATTTTAATAGACCCTAAACAATAAAAGGGGGAATGAATTGGATGGGAAATTCACCTACGATATTTCTGGTCAACTCCTACTCTACTGAAAGGGGAGCTGAAATAAACAGGAATCTAGCATTAAGTCCCCTTTTCCAGAATGTAGTGGAAGGTTTCTAAATTGGGGAGGGGAATTAGAGACTCCAGCTGCTAGAAATACATTAGAGTTTGACATATAGTTTACAGCAATAGATATAGCAATATCGTGGTACATTATTCCGTAGCCTTCACTTACATGGCAGTATGTAAATGAGGTTGTATATAACATGCTTCATATTGAATTTTCATCAACTAGGTATTTAAAAAATGTATTATTCTATATAATAAAAGTTTTCTTGCTAGCAAATATACGATATACGGTAGTAGATATGATAAAATCCTCGAAAAAAATGTCCACTTGTTTTATGAAGAGAGAAACATGAATGAAATCCTTAATAATGCAATTTTCTTTACCCTAACAAAGGATCAGAAAGACATTTGAGGATCAGCTAATATCACGAACCCAGTGCCCACAGAGGAAAATCATGGACAACAAAAATGAATCTGTCATTACTGAATTCATTCTTCAGGGATTCACAGGCAATCCCAGAATGCAGTTTTTACTTTTTACAATCTTCCTCTTTGTTTATGCCATCTCTGTCTTAGGGAATGTTGGGATGATTCTGTTGATTTCCACTAACACCCAACTTCACAAACCCATGTATTACTTCCTGGGCAACCTCTCCTTTGTTGATCTCTGCTGCTCTTCAGCCATTTCTCCAAAAATGCTGATTGACTTGTTGGATGA